CACTGCTGGCCGGTGACCCACGCGCAACAAAAGCGTCCCGAGAGTCATGGCTGACGGGCCAAGAGGAGATGAGATCACAGAGGCACAGACTTGGGCTCCTGAAAGTAATGGAGTAAAATAACTTAATGTGATCATTGAACGTGCTCTGATTCACCCTGCATTTTCCCTGAGGACCCAAGCCTCTGAGACTGTTGACAGACACCATTCATACTTATCCTACCTCCCAACCCTTCTCCCCCACCTACCAGATAGACATGGGCTACATCCTGGCTATTCTATGGGGAAAAGACACACCTGGTCTTTGTTCTCATAGTGCTTGCAGTCTAACGGGAAAGGCAGACCCCAAAGCAGTAGATGACTGGGTGGAGTTCTATAAAGAAAACAGAGAATTAGATGGATGATGGTTCCATTTACTGAGGGAAGACTGAGGGAAGCCAGGGAAGGAAGTCAAGAGTTTCAGCCCCAGCGTGTTACCCCAACAGAGATGTCACGTAGGTAGTTAGATACAGGAGTCTCGTGCTCAGAAGAGAGGTCTGGACTAGAGGCTGAAAAAGCTTCCTATTATCTCGTTAGGCTTTCTCAGGTCTACCTCTTCCTGGAAGCTTTCCCTGATAATGTAATTCCTCCTGGTCTTTCCTTTCATGACATTCATTCATTCACTCAGTAAAGTCTCGGGAAAGTTAACTCTGTGTTGGCTTAGTGTTGGCTCTCATGTTGGCTCTTATGTTGTAGGTGTGGAGTCAACAAGTAGAGAAGACAGTTATAACACAGAACAGTAAGTGCTGTGGTCAAGGAAAAAGCAAGGGGCTATAGGAGAATGGGCCTCCGTATCACCTGGGTCAAGCAGGAAGCAGATGGTCATCTCACGTCAGTAATTTGACAAGGCTCTATTTAAAGGGGGTGGGCAGGAGGTAGGGCAACTGGAAGGGGTGGTGAAGTACCCTGGGGTTTGAAGCATTTGGGCATTATTGCCTCCCTGGGCCTCAAAGGGAGAGAAAAGGGAGTGACTGCAGGAACCCAGAGCTGGAGAGGGCAGAGCACTGAGGTTGGCCCAATAGGAGCCGTGAGCTTCAGTTGAGGGACACAGCGAGAGCAGCAATGGCAAAAGATTTTTTAAGAGTAAGTTACATATATAAAATGATGTTAGGTATTGTTGAATCACAAGGCAGGAAAGGAGGTTAGGGAGGGCAGAAAAAGGGCGGGATCAGAGTTCGTAAATAGGATGGTCCGGGAAGGCCACACAGGAAGGTGTCACTAAAGCAAAGACTTGTATCTCCAGGTAAATCTTTCCCTGACCCCTTCTGTTAGCCCACCCTTCAAGTCCTAAGGGCAGGCCCTTGTCCTGAACTTAGAGTTCCCTGAAGGGTCTTCTCAGACTACGGTCCCCAGGACAGGATTTCTGTTTCATTCTTCTTTTTCTTGTCGAATAACAGCAGAAGCTGCTGCTTTACAATGGCCCCTTGGCCAGCCGCCTTCCCTAACAGGGTGTCTGCCACATCCTCACTGCAGAGAAGGGGAAGTGGAGGAAAACTTAAGTTTCTGAAGAACTGAAAAAGAGAATCAAGATTAAGCATATACTTTATGTCTCCAATAGACACAAGAACCAAAGGTAGAAGTCAATAGGAAGCAGTTTTTGTCAAAACGTGAGAACACCCTAACAATCAGAGCCTTGGCTGCCTCGGGGGCACTGAGTTCTGGTCACTAGAGGTGACCGAGAAGTGTGGGAAAGACACTGGGCAATTTCATGTCACGATGAAATATAGGAGATTCTTAAAGAAAGTATTTAACTAGTTAACTCTAAGAGTCCTTTCAACTTAGGTTCTACCACTGAATGATTCTAGAACTCTAAGATGTGTGATTCTAAGACTATGATTTTAAAATTTTATTAGAACAAGAGATAGTCCTTATCTTTAAAGAAATCACAACCCAGTAGATGAAGTGGGCAAATAGTTACTTTTCTTTTTTGAATTTTTTTAATCCTTACCTGAGGACATTTTTTCACTGGCTGAGAGAGAAAGGAAGAGAGAGAAAAACATCAATGTGAGACAGAAACGTTGATCCACCACCATCTCGTACACTCCCCAACCAGCGATAGAGCCAGCAACCTGGCTATATGCCCTGACCGGGAATCGAACCAGTGACTTTTTGGTCTATGAGAGAATGCTCCAACTGAGCCACGCCGGCCAGGGCAATAGTTACTTTTGATAACTGTAATAAATAGTCCTATAGAGTAAATTCAAGGCCCTGAGTAGACTGTGAGAAGGAACCCAAACTGAGCAAGGGTTATTTCCTCAAGGCTGTCAAGAATCACCTGCATTAGAATAGTTTGGGAATCTTTTTCTTTTTTTAATGCTAATTTCTGGGCTACCCTTCCAAATCTCCTGAATCAGAACCTCTAGAGTGCAACCTAAAAGTCTACTTTACTAAACTGAGCTCCAAGGTGAGTTTTAGGCAGAATGAAATTTGAGACCATGTGAGCGGGGAGGCGGGGGTGGCGGGCTCAGGATGACTTCCCTTGAGAGGTGATTTCCAGGCTGGAAAAAGGAGTAGCTGGGTCAAAATACACACCCACAGAAATAACAGGTTTTGATGGAGATTAACAATTTTATATAACATTCTGTCCATGTTGTAGGTCTTTTCAAAATGATAGCCCAAAAGGAAGTCTAGATGTAATCTGAGATTCTGTGATCGAGGGTACGTGCCTCAGATGTCCTGGAACAGATCTTTGTTTGCCAGGGAGCAGGAGCGGGCCTGTTTGTTCTTAGTCATTGCAAGGCCACAGGCTAGTAAAGAGGGATCTGAGAAGTACTCCCCACAGAGTCCCTGAGAGGCCATTCCCAGCCTCTGTCTGTTACAGAAGAGAACAAGGGGGGCCTGGAACGATATACTATTATTGAAAGAAGGCCCCGGGTCCGTTATGTCTGCCGCCAGAGGAAAGACGTCTCTCAATGCCAGAGATTTGTGAAAAGGAAAGGAAATGTTTATTTAATGCTATACAGACTTAAAGTAGTGACCTAATGTCTTCATCAAAATCCCAAAGTCCCTTAAAACACCCACAAACAGACACAGTCCTTCCTTCCTTCCCCCTTTGCCCAGTCCAGAGTACCGTATCTCAGGAAAGGAAATAGAAGTCCATGGCTCAGGCAGTCCTCTGGTTCTTCCCAGTTAGTCCTCCATCTCAACTGGGAGACCTCCCTGGGTTCCCGGCACCCTCAGCTGAGTCACCGGGATCTCTGCTAAAACCAGGTGGTGGTTCCCCTTCTAAAGCTGTGGGGGTCCCCTGCTCTGTCCAGGCCTCGTGGTTCTCTCCTAAAGCAGCACGGTTCTCCTCCTCAAGGCTGTGCATGGCTCTCTTTCTCAGGGCTGTGCATGGCTTTCCTTCCTAAAGCAGCACGGTTCTCCTCTCAATGGCCGAGGTCCTCCCCATTCTGCTAAAGCCGCATGGTTCTCTCTTCTCTCAGGGCTGCACATGGTTCACCTCCTCAGGGCTGCGCATGGCTCTCCTTCTCAAAGCAGCATGGTTCTCCTTCAGGGCTGCAGGAAGGGAGAGTCCTCACTCTGCCAAAGCCGCATGGTTCTCTCCTCAATGGCCGCCAAGTCTGGGTTTTAAATCCCCACGGCCAATCTTCCTCTGCAGCCTCATTTCCGACTCCTCCCACACTCGGCTTCACATGCCAGAACTCGTATCCTTCCAGCTTTACTGGGCTGCCATCTTGAGTCTGGGCAGGTGTGGCCCCAGGTCCTGGAGCCAATCTTCTCCGAGCTCCCATGCAGGCGCTGTAGCTTGGGGGATCTGCCCCCAGTCACATGTTGGTGGGGAAGTTACTTCCATTCCCCTGGCTCAGAGATGATCACAGCTATTTAACATATCTAAGGACCAGCCAAAGGCTATAGATATGTTAAATGACCACGCCAGAGGGTAGCTGCAAGGCTGTTGCTATGCAAAACAGCTCTCAATGGCCTTGCCTCATTTGTCCCTTCCCCCAACCCACACCCTGGGTGGGGGTATGGAGACATCTTAAAATCTCTTGGACACCTTAAGTTCTGGACCCCATTTCAAATGCCCATTTGGGGTCCCCCCTCTTGGCTGCACCCTGTAACATGTCCACTCCCCTGCCCTTAGCCTCCTGGCCATTTCCCAGTTGTCCCTGCTTGCTTCTTCTTTCTGGAGCCTGCAGTCACCAGCAAGGGAGCAGCAGTTTGAGTGAGCCTGGTGGCCAGAAAGTGAGGGGTGTTCTGGGACAGGGACCAGTGAGGCGTGAGGCTGGACGCCTAGTATTTAGGCATGTAAAGAACTATTGAGCCCTGGCCCAAGTGGCTCCACTGACTGGAGCTTCGTCTGTTAACTGAAAGGTTTCAGGTTCCATTCCTGGTCAGGGCGCATGCCTGGGTTGCTGGTTCGATCACCAGTCAGGGTGCATATGGGAGGCAACCAATCAATGTTTCTCTTTCTCTCCCTTCCTCGCTCTAAAAGCAATGAAAAAAAAATGTCCTTGGTGAGGATTTAAAAAAAAAAAAACAACAGCAACAACAACAACGTGGAAACTTGGAGGGAGGGGACGTAAGCTCTTCCACTAACGTCCTTGGTGAGCCTGGTCAATTCCCTTCCCAACCTGGGCCTGTGTTAGGATCCGATATCTCCAGGGACCACTCGGCTTTAATGCTTTGGATTCTGAGATCTTATCTGACCCTAACCATCATCCTGTGTGGGATGTATGCAGGAATTCTACCTATTTTATTGCAAGGAAGACAAGACCCAGTGAGGAGCAGTGACTTGCTCACCACCACGCAGCCACAAGGAGCAAAGACTGATTCCACCAGCAACCAACGTTCAGCCTCACTTTCTGGAGGCTAGATAAGCTGATGCGAAGCGATATCAGGTCCAGGAAGCAGACGCTGCAGGGGACGGAAGAGTCAGAACCCACAGCGGGGTGAGGCGGTGCAGCTGGGCGGAGACGTCCGAAGGCAGCCAGAGGAGAAGCGGGTGTGCTGGGGGGCGGGCGGGGCCGGGGGAGGGGACGCCCTAGGGAGAGTAAAAGGGAGCAAAGCAAAGGTCTGTAGGCAGAACCGAGGGGGCGCGGGGCAGTGCTGGGCACCGGCTGCTCACAGCCGAGACAGCAGCCGAGACGACGGATCGAAGGGTGCAGTGCAGTGCACCCTCCTGCACAGGGCGCCATGCCCCACGAGCAGGCGCCCCTCTGAGCCTTGCGGAGAGGCAGGTAAAGCGTACCCGCAGGGTTGGGAAAGCTGAGCTGTTGCGGGGAGTTAGAAATGAGGTATATTGTCGCCTCCCTTGAGACCGTAGAGCCGAGGAGGGGGCGTTCAGATACGAAGCTGATCCTCCCCAGGACAGAGCAGCGGGGTTCCTGGGGCCGTTCGCAGGAGTGCGGAGCTGGGCTCCAGGCCCGCCCTGCCTGGAGACGGTGGGAGTTCTGGAGGGCGGCACGAAAGCTTCTTGCATATCCACAGATATGCAAGCGAGCACCTGTGGGTGAGCAGGGAGTGCACAAAGGCTCTCCGGGACTCAGCCGGTTTTCATACCTGACGGGAGCCGCTTGCTCTGCAGAGTCGATGTGCCCATTGGCTACTGCCTGTATGCGCCTCAGCCCTGGGGAAAGCCTGAGGACTCCCCAAAACATCTCCTGCTGCTAATAACATAGGTCTAGGCTGGGAATCAGGAGATGAGTTCGTTTAAAGGTTGTAAACCTGTGCCGGTCACCCGCCCGCTTTGTGCCTTGTGCTGCTTTTCTTGAATCACCGCGCATAAAACGAGCCTCTGGGCCTGTTGCCAGTGCGCTCCCTGGGACAGGAGGGAAAAGCGGTCTACACCTGGGAATCTGTTTTCACCCTTGTGTTGAGGCCTTGTGTAGAGTATCTCCTATTCTCCCAACCTACTCCAGCGGGAGAGGACTTGCCCAAGATCACACTAGGGAACGGAAAAGAGCCGAAGTCTCCTCACCCCTAAACAGGACTTTGTGCACTTCACCTGCAGAGATGCGTTGTACACGCGAGAGCTCCAGCGTGCACCCAGCTGCTCTGTCCCTCTGTCCCTCCGAATGAAGGAGACCCAGTGCCAGACCTTTCACCTTTTCTTGACTCCTCGAGACATCAACAGCCTCCTTCATCCTCACTCACTCCCCACATCTCAAACACATTTCTATCCACAAACTGAAAAACACCTGCTAAGAGACAAGAAACCCCATCTTACTGTTGGGGAAAAAGAGGCCCAGAGTGGAGAAGCAACTTAACCAAGATGCATGACTAGACACATTGGTAAAATAGGGTCAGGTCTCTTGATTACCACTCTGGTGTGTTCTCCAGTGACAACAGGACTATGGAAGGGCACCCCTGAATGGAAAGAGACTACAGAACTGATCAGACAGGATGGAAGACAAGGAAGGCTTCTGAAGAATCAAGAAGGATAATATGAAACTGGCTTCTTCTGAAGGTAGCAGTGCCAAGGGTGGGGAGAGGGGACATAGGGATGGCTGTTCTTGGAAACCCTGGGGTGGCTGGGTGGGGAGGACACCAAGGGGGCCAGGCTGCCCAATAATGATCTCTTATGTTTATATAATACTTCGCACTTTCTAGAATACCTTCCCCTTAGAGTCTCCCCCAGGTCCCCTGTGAGGTAATCAGGGGTAATTATCCCATCTCATAGATGAGTTGCAGAGAACATTAGTACAGTGCTCAAGGTCACATAGCCGAGCACACAGCCAAGATTAGAACCATGAAAGGAACACTTGAAAGGCAAGATCACAGTCTGGGTGACTGGGAGTTGTGTGTGTGCAGTGGGTGGGTGTGTGTGGCCACACCCTAGGTCGGTACACAGGGAAGTAGGTTGCAAAGCCACTGCCAGTATTTTGGGGCCAAGAATGTTTGCCCTTTGATTGAATGGGGTTCAGGTTAGGGAATGTCTGGGTTTCCAAAGGAGGCTTAGAGTTCTTCCTGCCCTGACTTACTTCCCCACCTGGCTGAGGCAGTTTCTTTTCTCTGAGTCTCCTCTTTTCCAAACCAAATGGAATCTGTTTTGGCCTGTCCTTGAAGTTGTTTTTAAGTAATATAAGCTGTTTTCATGAATGTGTATGTGTTGCTGAGGGGGAATGGTCTAATAAGTAGAGAAATTGATTGATTTATTCTTCAGTGCCTGCTATGTGCTCAGGCCCAGGGAATAAAGAAAGGTATGGCAGGTCCCTGCCCTCACACCTGACTATATAGAGAGATTCTATATAGATACGCACATATAATTCCATTACAGCACGGTGCTCTAACAGGGGTTTATGCAAACCACTTTAGGAATGGACAAGAGGGAGGGACTAACTAGCTAGTGAGTGGGGAAGTGGTGTCTCAGGACAGGGTCTACAGAGGAGACATCGGAGCTGCATCCTGAAGGCTGCAGGAGTTCACTGTGCGGATGGAAAGAAGAAGGGTGTTCCTGCGCAAGAAAACAGTATGAGCAAAGGCAAGAGGTGTGCAAGTGCAAGGAATGTTTTGAGAATGGCCTGTAGCTCAGTGTCATGGGGCACAGGACACTGGAGAACGCTGTGGTGAGATGGGACTAGAGGCAGGGTCACATCCGAAGGACTTTGAATGATATTCAGAAGGTTAAACTGTCCTACGGGCAACGGAGAACTTATAGTGGAAGGATCTGTGGACTGGATGCCTGTCATCCCAGCTTTACCCCTCCTCGCTATGAGACCTTGAGCAAGTGATTTCCTCACTGGGGGGTCCTCTCTTTTCCCACTGGCTGAATGAGGGGGTTGTACCAATGACATGATTATTTAAGGGGTAATCAGCTCAGATTCTATTCCTGTGTCTCCTTCCAACTATATGTTAATGTCCATTCCTGCAACTCTTCTCCCATCCTTTGGCCTCCCAGTCCATGGTGGTGACAAGACCTCCAGAGGGACCAGCAGCAAAATTGTGCATCTTAGGAGTTACCTTTGTATTCCCTGCATGCTTTTTTTGTGACTCCCCGCGCACCCTGCCTCTCTCTACCACATTTCTGGGCACTTACGACACTCCTTTGTAAGAGTAGCTGCAACAGAGCAATGGGTGAACCAGAAAACCAATGGCAGTGTTTCACTTTTCCCCAGAGAAACCTGACATAATATCTCACTAAGATATCCAGGTCAGTCTTCAGATCACAGTTGTACACCTCTATCCCCAGGTCAGAGGTCAGGTGAGTTCAAGCCAAGAACATTTAGGGAGAATCTGTCAATGTGGAGGGAATAGTAGCAATAGAATGTGGAGGAAAAGAGTGTGCCCGGCTTGTCCAGCACACCAGGGTAGGTCTGGAACAGAAAGGGCCATGGGAGAGGAGACGAAAGGAAGACTAATTCCTTCTCCAAAACTTACCTCCTTCACCCCTTACTGGATCCTCAATTAAGATTGGTAAGGATCTGCAGTGCAGGAAGAAACCGTCGTCATGGAGTTAGAGGGGATGATGCCCAGGACACAAGGAGGCTGTGTTTGGTGTGATATGCTGCTCAAATGTTAAGGAGTGTCGCCATTAGTAGTGAAATGAGCTCCCGCGCAGCACTCCCGCAGGCCTGTGTTGTAGTCTGCGCTCGGCTGTTTGTAGCCTTCGCCTTCTGAGCTTCAGTTTTCCAATCTACAGAACGGGGGGTGGCCTAGAATCCAGATGCTAAATGAGCTTTAAAAATCTCTTTCAGCTTGGCCAGATCCTTCCTAATTGGTCTCTTCTGTTTCAAGTGAAGGGCGTGTAGGGCAAGAGCTGTTTCCCTCGTCATTATGAACTTCATAATCAGTGACTATCTCGAAGGGGGAAGCCAAGGAGCACAGAAAGAGGAACAAAATTCCAATGTTCCAACTGCCAGGTCCCCAACTTGGGACCCAGAGGCAGGTTGTAGAGAACCAACCTGTCCCTTTATCACCTCTCTGCCTCTCCTGACCCAACAGGACAGGACGCCCTTGCCCCCGGCCTCTCTCCCACCCCAACCCAGCCCCTAAAGATAAGTAACTATGGCTTCTTCCCTTCTCCCATCGGACCACAAGCATCCAGGCCTGCTCAGAGAGGTCCTGGAAGGAGGGTCTGAAGGTCCCCCCACACTGTCCCCATACCCCCACTTTCTGCACAGATTCTGTCTCCTCCCCAGGCTAGATCACCATGCCAGGTAAGCTGTTAAGAGGAAAAATAACAATTCAAGCAATTCAGTTTTCAGATTATCTAGGTTGGAATATTAAGTGTAGCTCCATTCCAGGGCTCAGAATCCTAACTTGTGAGGGAAAAAGTCTGCAGCCTGTCTCATGATTTGAGAGGCTCTAGAATGTTCCTGGAATGCCTGTCCCAACAGTCTACCCAGTCTGCTCTGATCTCTCAGTGTGGTTTTGTGACTCATGTCACAATGTCCTCTAATGTCCTCATGTGACATTAGAGCTGACTAAAACCGTACAGCAAACCCCCTTCTGTCACAGATGCAGACAGGAGCTGGGGCCCAGCAAAGGGAAGTCACGTGCCCAAAGTCACATAAGTAACAGCTGAACCAAGACCACTCCTTGAGTTTCCATTTGCTTCACTGTGAAATGAGGGCAGTTAGACTGGACGGGCTCTGAAGGCCCCACCAACCTCTGTTCTACAAAAAGAAAACCGCCGCTGTGTTTGTGGGGTGTCTAGTGCTAGGCACTGCGTATTTTTCTTCTCTAATTTTCACAACGAGCTATGCTACAGGTAGTGTTGATGCCATGACCACGATTATACCTAGTCTATCCAAATAGCTAATTGGGAATATCACTGTTCCTATGTAAAGCATTGACCCAACTGCCAGCTGCCGTTCTGCCATTTACATCATTCACTTGACTCTCAGGCCCTTTCAGCCTTTCAGAGGCTCCTTCCTGCTAAGGCACCAACACTGTTGGGAAAGGGAATGCCTTAGGCTGCACTATTAGCTGGTCCCTGAGAAGGAGTCCGTGTGTTACACTGAGCTTCCTCCATGAAGCTTCCTCAATTGAGACCCTGTGGGCCTGGAGTTAGGGGACAGCAATCAGATGTCCCTCGGCCACTGTACAATTCCTGTAACTCTAACCCCAGGCTGACCTGGCCCAGCTGCTGCAGGAAGGGGAGGGGAAGCAGGAGGGTGTCAGAGCCAATAGCAAGGCTATTGCACAACCCTTGGAGCCCAGCCTTGGGTGATCTGCCCTGGTTTTGAAGTTCGTTCTGTGTCTGGTTCCTTCCTTTTCTGCTCCCCCTCCTGCTTCCCAGTTCTGGGTCTTCCCCACTGCTGAAGTGAATACTAAGACCCCCGATGTGTCCAGAGACATTCTGAAGAGGTTGAGGAGCTAAGGAGCCTTGGGGCACCCAGAAGGAGATTCCCAAAGCCAACTCAGAGCCAGAGAATTTGCCTGCTACTTGGTGAGTCTTCCAGACCAGCGTGGCCCTCCCTCTACCCTGTCAGTGCTACCCCCTGTAAGAGAGAGAAAAAAACTGGTAGCAGTGACTGCCCTGGGGAAGTGCCCTGGGCTGCTGGGAGCAGGGAGACTTCACCTGCACTGTGTATGTCCTGTGTATACATATTTACTACTCAAAAATAAAATACAGATTTCCACTTTAATGGGAAATCATGTTTACATTCAAATATACATTTTTAAAATCTTCACCACAGTGAAAGTATATGGTCAAGAAAGCCCAGAGGGAGGCAAGGCAGGGGTGATCATCTTTTTTTTTTAATTGTGGTAAAAAATAAGACATATAGCTTAGAATTGACCATGTTAACTGTTTTAAGTGTACAGCTCAGTAGCGTTAACTACATTTACACTGTTGTGCAATAGTTTTCTAGAACTTTTTCATCTTGCAAAACTGACACTTTCTATCCACTGAACTACACCACCTTATGTTAATCTTTTTTGATAAATAAGGAAACTGAAGCCCAAAGAGGGTGAGAAATTTATTTCTCTCAAAGCAGGCTCCTCCAGCTGCTTACACCATCTGTCTGCTGTCGACCTGTAAAACTGGCAGAGACCCCTTCCTCCCCAAACCCTTGCATTAGCCATTCCCTCCCGCAACTGCCTCTCATGCCTGTCCCTGCCCCCACCTTGCCATTCCCTAGGTCCCTGCTCAGGACTCGGTGTCTTCCAGATGAACTATTTCAAGACCCTTGTCACTGGGCTTTCTGCCTCAAGTCTTGCCCTCAGTTGAGTCCACATAACAGCCAGTGTCGTATCCAAACACAGATCTGATCTTTCTGTCCCCTTTTCAAATACTGTTTCATAACACTTCCCCACCTGCAGGATAAAGTTCCAGCTCTGCACCGTGGCACTCAAAGCCCTGCGTGATCTGGTTCAGGCCCGTATCTCCACCCCACATCCTGCGGCATCCTCTCACGCATCCTACATGCTAATCTCTTTATGCTACTTTCCATTCTTCAGAACATTTTATGCGCTTTCCAGTTGTCATGCCTTTGCTCATCTGTTTCCTTTTCTTGCCTTTTCTGCTTCCTAAAAACCCTCCAAGGTCCACTGAAATGCCTCCATCACTGTGAACACTCTCTGAGCCCTGATCAAAATTCATCCCTTCTTCCTTTAAGCCCCAGCAGACTCTGGCATGTCCCCTGAATTATGGAAGAGCTGGCAATGTGCCCCTGAGTGCGGTGGGGACTGGGTCTGAGTCCGCTCAAAAGTAGGCCTCCAAAAACCATGACTGGCTGAATGATTAGCTGAACCAATAATTTCATTGTGCTGCTCCTGCTTTCCATTGGCCCACAAAACGACAAAAGAAGGCACACATTTCATGCCTGACAAGTGGGGTAGTGGATGAGACCTATGCCTCCTGGATCTTAACTCAGCAAGTGCTCATTCTCTTTCCCTCCTTCATTCACATAAGGTAGCCCAAGTGCTCTAGAACATGGGGCCCCAGAAGCCTTGCAGGAAATGTGGGCCAGTCCTAGGTGATTGCTGTATCGTTTAGATTCTCCCCCCGCCCCCCCAGCTTCTGCATTCTTAGAGCTGTTCATGAATATTTATCATGGTCATAACTAACTGTCATCTTTTCTGGGAAAGAGACCTTATGGTTAATAATCAGGATTCTTAACTTTGGTTGGCTGGCAGCTCTGCCTAGATAATGGAGGGTTTGGAACTAGTCAGTGAACTCAGGGCTCTGGGACCATGGAGAAGTCCCTAAAGTGGCCACCTTTACTGGAGACTGTTGAGGAAAGGAGAACACCCAGCCAGAGACGGGGTAGACCTCCAGGGAAGGAGAAGTCCCAGTCAGTCTCAGGATAGACCCCCTAGGCTTGGGGGACAGACACAGCTCTGCTGACAATGAGCACGTGGTCTGCTGATACCCTTATCAGTAACAAGACAACAGCCACACATTGCCTTATATGTAAGTGCAGGGCCAAAGGGAAGGCTGAGATGATAAACCTTGTGGAGTGTGGTCGAGGGGTAGGGAGCACTCAGTGAAGGTTTACAGAAGGAAGTGGATGTGGAGCCTGGTTTAAAGGGAATGGCATGTGGTTTTTTAGAGACCAGGATGCAAGGCTGTCTTTGGATGTTTTTCTGTATTATAGACTAAGGATGTCTGAGGAGGAAAAGGAATATTTATTATCACCTATTATTTGCCAGGTAACATGGTGACTGTGTCAGAAAGCAGAATAGTTGAGGTGCTGTGTCTTGTCTCTCTGTGGAAGGTGAAACCCCAAACCAGACTGAGTGCCCCGTCGCTCCCCACCCTCAGGCCCGACCCTGTCCTCTTTGCCAGTGCCTGAAGTGGTTATCAGCCTCTCCCTGCCTCCCCAGCCACCTCCTTTCCAGAAGTATTCCCAATGGAATCCTTCCAAAAAAAATCCTAAATAACTAGGAATATTGAGTGCTTGGGACATAGGATGCTTGAGAGGTCAATGATCCCCACCCCTGGTTCCAGCTAGGGTGAAATCTAAGCCATCCCCAAACATCTAAATGGTGTATGTGGAGTATAAGAAGGAATTGTGCTAAAGGAGAATTCTGAGGAGTATCTTCCAATAATGCAACACAGTCCTACCAAGAGCTGGCATGAAAGTTGAGGAACTCTGAGCTGGCCAACAAAAGGCTGGACTCTGTCTGAACTCTACCTCTAAATGTTCTCTGGGATCACGGTTAAGCCATGTGTTCTCTCTGGGCCTCTGCTTCCCCGTATGTAAAACAGAAGGAGTTAGATTAAATAATCCCCAAGTTCCTTGTAACTGAAAGCTCAATGATTTACAGAATCCAAAGAAAGGACAGATCAACATGGATTACAATGGTCGAGGAAAGCTTATTCCACAGGTACCTGCTGAGCATCTGTTGAGTGCTGCCTTGAGTGGTTGTATATAGCAGTGAGTAACACAGACATAGTCCCTGCCTTCATGGCGCTTGCAGTCTTATGGAGAAGACAGACAAGGAAACAAAGCAGAATGAACTGTGATGTTGGGGTTTTAGCTGGGGTCTGAAGGAGTGAGGAGGTCATTCAAGCTGCAGGTCATGAAAGCCACCCTTTCTCTTTTCTGTTGCCACCAGAGTGTCCTCCGATTCTTCCCTGCCTGAATCCCTGTTGCTATGGAGACCACCAATGGGACTGAAGTCTGGTATGAGAGTCTGCATGCTGTTCTGAAGGCTCTAAATGCCACTCTTCACAGCAACTTGCTCTGCCGGCCAGGACCAGACAACCTGACTCAGGAGCGGCAGGCCAGCCTACCCGGCCGTGATGACAACTCCTACATGTACATTCTCTTTGTCATGTTCCTATTTGCTGCCACCGTGGGCAGCCTCATCCTGGGATACACCCGCTCCCGCAAAGTGGACAAGCGCAGTGACCCCTACCACGTGTACATCAAGAACCGGGTGTCTATGATCTGATGCGAGAAACCCAGGATGCTGAAGATCAAGACACCTGAGCGTTGATTGACTTCTGAGACCTCCAGAACTCAGCCATGGCTCCCGTCAGGCCTCAGTGTTCCTATGTACAAGGTCAACGAGACACAGTGCTAAGGGATGTCATTACTGGGCTGGGGAGAGAAGGGCAGACCTAGGCCTTGTGGGGAAAAAAGGACTTTTTTCCAGCAAAAGACTTGATATACATGATAGACAGTGGGAACTATGAACAAATACATACAAGTAGCAAAAGATAATAACTAATGACTGGTCTAATGGCTGGAGTATCATGGGCCAGGGACTTGAGGAAGGAGAAAGGGAAGTCGTGGCAGAGGGAAACTAGACGAGAAGGTGTGTGGAGGACACGTGTGTGTGTGTGTGTGTGTGTGTGTGTGTGTTATCTTCACTGACTGTGAGAAGCAGCAATGATTATCCCATGTGACAGAGAGGTATAGCGTTACTTATTTATATTTGTTCACACTTGATGTTTCTCATGATTTCCCCCCGGGAGGGAAGCAGGGCAAGTGCCATTCCACCCACCTGGGCTAGAGCTGTGCCATGACTGGAAGTCTCTGTGCCCAGTGCTTTTTAAGACTCTGACACACAGGGTCAACCCAGGCCTAAAAGGCAGACAATTCTGGGAGCCCTCCTTCAAAAAACTCCTACTTAGGTACCTATTACAAAAATATATTACCATTTGACACTTCCGGGGCCTCTCCTAAAACCTTAAGAAGGAGTCGTGCCTGTGCAGGGCTCTGAATGCCAAGCCTCCTTAGCTCCAAGGTTCCTGTGCCTCCAGCCAGGTCACAGTTGTCACAGTGCCCTTCCCAGACACAACCCCTGCCATGGGATCTTCACTACCTCAAATGTATAGCCTCTTCTGTTTTGACTGAGTTCTGGGAGAAACTTTCTGATACCAAGTTTCAATCTGCTTCCGTAAGATTATCATCACACCTGGAAGGTTACCATATGAAAAGAAGCTGAGTGTGCAAGGCAGGTACCTGGCTCCATGGAAAGGGAACCAGTCCTGATTCTACCACTGATGTGAGCTGTGACACTGGCTGAACACTCCCCTCTCTGATCTCCTCCCTCCACAGCAGAGTGAAATAGTCAGACTTAAAGTCTCTAAGAGTGCTACCAGTTCTGACATTATAGGCTCCATGTACAGTAGGTTGAACCATATAAAATTACTGTTTGTGGGTCAAAAACAGCTGAATATCAGTATTTGATATGGGTCAGTCTAGTCTGTGCAGTCTAGCATGGCAGGTGGATACTTCACTAGCTCAAATCCCAGGCTGGGGCCTCCCACTTGTTCGGTTTGATTTCTATTTAAGAAAGCTCCGCGGGGTCTCCAAAAGGCCCTATCAAAACGTACATTTTTATGTATAGCAAAAACTCTGAAAAAATATTTTGATGTCAGTTATCTTTGAGGAGAAAGATTACGGGTGATGTTCCCTTTCTACTTTAAATTTTTATATACTTTTTGGTTTATTTGACCATAAGTATGTTACCTGTATAATACAGGATGGGAGAGAGGGGCAGAGAGCTACTTCCACTTTGAAAAAATAAAAATAAATGTCCATGTATTTCTTGAATGGAGGGTCACAGAACACGTGCTCCCATGAGGAGTTACATTCACCCCCTGCAAATCTGCAAAGCCTGTGTGTGCTCAAGACTTTCCTTACCACTCCTTGAGGGAGAAAGTGGAGACCTGCTTAAGATGTGACCCATGGGAAGACAGCAGAATCAGGCATCTGCAGCTGGATGGGACTTCAGAAGCCACCAATCCCAAATCCCAAATAAAATATGGAATGAAGTCAAATGTAAGAATGAGTGGGCAGGTGATGGACGCTTAAAGAGTTTTGAGAAACAAGATTGAGCAAATCTAGGAGTCAGAGAGAGGTAGCATTTGAACTGGACTTTGAAAGGGCAGATCTGAATGGGCAGAGTGAGTGAAGGGAACAAGACACAGGGAGCTTGGAGACAGAAATGAGGCAACACCATCCTGAAGAGAGAAGGCAGGCCCAGCGTGGCCACTCTGGATTTCAGTGTGCCATCCAGGGAGGAGGCACCCCTTCACACAGCCCTCATACTCCCAGGGGTTAATAATAAAACATTACAACTTGTTTCGCTTGTGAGATGCAGCCCCCCCCCCACACACACACACAGAAGCATGAGCAGGAAAGAAGACTTGTTGAGAGGAATATGGGGTAGTCATGAGCTCCAGAGGAGTGGCAGACAGCAGGACAACTCCCGGGATCTTGGGGCCTGGAACTACTTACCTGTCTGAATTCAGAGTAGGGGCTCAGTATATCTCACACACGTGGAGTTGGACTAAATAAAATTCTAGGCTTTTAAGGTGGTATAATTTAAACACTCTAATATTCTATGATACAGGTACTCCCCTGCCTACCCCACCCCCATTGTCTGGGAGTGCTGTCCACCTCTCAGCCACAGGTTCTTTTGCCTGCACTGGGTCTGCCCTCTGCTGGCCGGATACAGCATATGGCCTTGAGCCCTCAAAGCCAAACTTCAGTGTTCACTCATTCCAGGTATTCATTGAATACCCACTGTGTGCCAAGCACTCATTTAGGCACAAAATAGGTAAGTAAAGAAAAAAGATAAAAGAAACCTCTGCCTTAATAGTTAAAAGCATTTTCTACATATCAGGAAGCTGTGTAAGCATTTTACATTAACTCACTTTAAAAAAAAGATTTTATTTATTTTTAGAGAGGGAATGGGAGGGAGAAAGAGAGGAAGAGAAACATCGACAGGTTGCCTCTCATACATGCCTTGACTGGGAATGGAACCCACAACCTTTTGCTCTATAGGATGACTCCTGAACAACTGAGCCACACGGTACAGGACAGTAATTACTATCCTCGACATGTGTGTAGTGGGGTCCGAGGTGGTGTTACGAATACTTGTGTAGCTCTGTCCTATTCAGTCATCCAGGGACCCAGGACAATGATCACCATCCTCAACATGTAGCTTCCAAGTTTGCTATGGCGAAAGCATTTCTAATTAGTGAGGAGAGAGAAAGAACAGAAATCCTGGGCCAGAGACTTACTCTTAAGCAAGGCAAAAGCTGCATACAAGCCCGCTGCTCTCATCCATGGATGGGAGTGGCAAGGCCACAGCTGACTGCGAGGGGCCCTGGCAAGTGAGGTCCCATCCGGGCAGCCATGTTCCAGCTGAGGCTCTATTACTATGGCAGAAACACATGGATTTGGGTGGACAGCTAGTAGTCTTCGCCCACCCTTCCCACCCTTCCCCCAAGGAAGTCCCTACCATCATCAAGAAATGCACAGCCTTGCCAAGAAGGAAGAAGCACTGCTACTGGCATTTGATCATGTTTTCTGGGGTTAGGGTGGGAGCCTGTGGGTATAACTAAACCAGTCCTGGGAGTGTGACTTTTACTTTTTTTTCTGGCACTGGTCTCTCCTCTCATTGGAATGGTAATCGTCTAAGCCTTGGGTCTAGGCCTGGGGGAAATAAACCAATCAAGGCTTTCAGTCAACCTTGTATGGGAAGAAGAATCCTCTTGCAGGTGCCACTAAGAAACCCAAGAACGTAATCTGCCTTCCTGAAATCAGAGAACCCACCTGTGGCAGTGGTTAAACTGTGACAGAGAATGAGCTCCTGGGAGCAGGAGATCAGAAATTAACGAACAGGAAAGAAAAAAATGAAGAACTAATATTTGATGAGCAATTAATCTCTGCCAAGCACTGTGCTGAGAATTTGCATGTTACCTTATTTCACCCTTTTAAAAACTCTTGAGGTAATTTTTTTGATCCTTGTTTCATAGATGAAGAAACAGAAGCTCAGGAGTGAAACAGCTTGTTTAACATTCACTTAATATGCAGAGTTGTCTAGATTTTAACACAAACTTGCCTTAATTGAAAGCCCATGTTCTCCCAGCTAGAGCTTTTTCTTTTTTTTTTTCTTCATCTGAAGACATGCATATTGATCTTAGAGCGAGGGAAAGAGAGGGGGAGAGAAACATCAGTGTGAGAGAGAAACATCAGTTAGTTGCCCTACCGTACCCACAGCCTGACCAGGAATGAAATCCATGAACTTTCAGTTTGTGAGACGATGCTCCAAGCAACTGAGCCACGCTGGCCAGGGTTCCGCAGTAGAGTTTTGAGTCACATCAGATCCTTTCTCCCAGCAGACCTTGTGGCTGGCCTCTCTGTTCCCCTTCAGGGATCAAGTAGGGTAGTCAGAATCTCATCCTTGCTTAGCTCCTTTGATCCCCAGCCAAGTACCTTTGGGGAAAAAAAAAAAAAGAGCATTATCGCAAAGAATATGGGAGTGAACAATAAAACTAATTGGCACACCTCTTGCATGAGGGTCCCTGATTTCCCTCAGCACTGACTCTCAAAACTGGGAACAAAGGCAACAGAGACACCAGCCACAGAACTGACTGGGAGATGGGGAGGTTTAATCTCTAGAGGGGATCTAATGTGAGTTATTTATTGGTGCATCTCCTGCAGTTGGGGAAAGGAAAAGATTTAAATTCATCTCAAAACAGCTCTGTGGGATAGCTGCAGGCTTCACAGTTCTGCTTTCGATTTATCATTCATTCATTCAACAGATACTTATTAAATGCTTAGATGTCAGGCAATGGCTTTGGCTCTAAGAACATGGAAGAAAAAATGGGCACAGTCCCTACCATCATGGGGCAAGAATTACCTTACCGTTTTCAGTTTTTCTTCCAAAAATTTTCAACTTCTGCCCTGGCTGGTGTGGCTCGGTGGATTGAGCACAGGCTTGTGAAGCAAAAAGTCGCCAGTTCTATTCCCAGTCAGGGCACATGCCCAGGTTGTGGGCCAGGTCCCCAGTGTGGGGCACACAAGAGGCAACCACACATTGATGTTTCTCTCCCTCACTTTCTCTCTCCCTTACCCTCTCTCTAAAGATAGAGAAAGAACGAAAAAAACTTAAAAATTTTTCTTCAGTTTCTATGAAATTTTACTTTGCCCCACCTACTTCCCCTCAGTCCCTCTCTAAGCGAAAGAGGCTTCTTTTACTCAACCTACTGCCCTGTTTATAATTTTATGATAATTTTTATCACATTGTACTCTTTATGATAATTTTTATCATATTGTACCTTTCCTAGAAACAGGGCGAGGGTGCAGGCACAGACCATGTCTAATGTATCTCTACGCCCCCATCCAGTAGCACAAGGCTTGGCCCAAAGTGAATGCTTAATTACATAGTATCAGTGGAATGAATCACCATCATCTCTCATATATGT